TAACATTTGATCGTTCATCCTGAGAGCATTAGAGCTCCAGGCCGAAGGTCACAGTTACAGTCTGCCATGTCCAAGCTGATCATTTTAACCCCGCCTTAAAGCCAGGAGAACCATCAGCTGGAAGGAGAAGCTGGATGTTACCTGCAGGCGTGCCAGCTGAGTGATCCTGGCCACGATCTTGTTGTAAGGATCCACGATCTTCGTCCTGATCCTGCAAAGAAAAGTCTGGGTTACATCCGAACATCCGACTGGAACGTCTCCACCAGGAAACACATCTAAAAGGAGAAGCTAACATCCAGAAACCTGCATCAAGGCATCAAAGAGTGGGTAAAACTAGAGGGACCGGTTCATCTCCTTTACTTTGTGAAGGAGGCTTTAGGTCTGAGTTGGTATGAATGGAGCAGCTGTGAATTAAAGAGCGCTCCAGGTCCATGCCAGGACCAGAACCCTCCAACAGAAGGTCCAACACATTCAATCCATCACTGGATGGAGTGAAAACATGCTGCTTTGGTCCAAGAGGTTCCAGCTCCAGAACAGAGTCGGTTCAGACTCTGATCTGCTGCCTGAGACCTGCAGGGTCCACCGGACTCTGATGGATCAGCAGCCGGACCCTTCAGGCTGGACACTCACCTGTCCACAGCAGCCTGCAGGGCAGAGATCCTGGTCTGCATCATCTGAAGAACCCCTGAAAGGAAGAGAACAGAGCTGTGTCAGAGCGCGCTGGCTCCCTCTGCTGACACACCAGGAAAACTACAAAGCTAAAGGAGACCTCAACGATCATCAGATCAGAGATGAAAAAAGGCAGAAAACGGGTGAGACAGCCGCCTGTCTTTGGACTGATCGCCCCAAAGAGCAGAGTTCTGGTTCTGGGAGACCCAGAGCCATGGGCTGAGGGCCAAACAACCAGCTCCCTGACCCCTGGAACATTCTGGGGTTTCCTCAGTGTTCCTGGAACCCAAGATGGATTTAGGGATCCATCTTGACCCAAACAGGCTGGTTCTGACCCATACCGGCTGGTTCTGACTGTGGGCCTTCTCCACAGAGGACCAGTGTTCAGACTGGGAGCAGGATTCCCAGTAGAAGCTCATCCAGGAGCAGAAGCTCTCTGGAGGCCGAGGTCCAGCAGGAGCTTCCATCCACCAACCAACATCTGGAAGCATCAGAGGAACTGCAGCTGCTGGCAGACAGCTTCATGGAGGATCCTCTCCTCCTCTCTCCTTCCCTGTTCTCTCCTCCTTCCTTCTTCTCTCCTCCACGTCTCTCATCCCCTCTCTACACTCCTCCCCCTCAGGTCAGACCACCACGGTGATGAAGCTAGGAGCAGACCTCCCCTCCCCTGCCGCCTCCTGGCAGCATCACAGTGAACTAAATGCTGAAGCTCAGAGGAGATGGTTCCAGATGTTTGCAGATGTTACAGACCTTCCAGAGACTCGATCCCTGTCGCCTGGGCCAGAAGTTCTTCATGTCGAGCCACCACCTGCAGAGAGGAGGAAGCCACGGAGCGTCAGTAATGGAGGAGAGAAGAGGAGGAGGAGCAGCAGGAGGAGGAGGAGGACCTGGCTGTGCAGCTCCTTGTCCAGCTGGCTGATGCCCTGGGCCAGCTGCGCCAGCTGCTCTGCGATCACCGCCTGCTGGATGGCCTGGGCCGTGTACGTCTTCACATCGAAGCCTGCGTCCAGGAAGTCCACGAAGCAGCCTGCAGAACAGCAGAGGCAGAACCCATCAGAACCNCTGCAGAACAGCAGAGGCAGAACCCATCAGAACCCAACAGAACCCAACAGAACCCAACAGAACCATCAGAACCCAACAGAACCCAACAGAACCATCAGAACCAGCAGAACCATCAGAACCATCAGAACCATCAGAACCATCAGAACCAACAGAACCAGCAGAATTATCAGAACCAACAGAACCAACAGAACCATCAGAACCATCAGAACCATCAGAACCATCAGAACCAGCAACAAAGATGGATGCAGTTAGAATAGCAGATGGTGGAGAATTAAGACTCAGTTTTTGGCATATTTGTCTTTTTTAAAATCTTTTTAGGAGAAGAAAAAAATGTTTTAAAGTCATTAATGATCCAATGAAATGAAGGTTTAGCATTTCTCCATTTAGCAGAGAGATATTTAGCCAACAGCAGGAGGATATTAACAGGATCAGAAACAGGTTGGGGAGGGAGGTCCTTAGGGAAAAATGACGTCATTTAGGGCAAATTGAGGCAAATCATTCATTTTCTAACAAAAACAACCTTTCATGCGTTTCAGAAGCGACGTGTCGGAGGACACAGTGAAAACAGAGAGTTTCACTATTATTACAAAAGAAACATCGATCCACCACAAAAACTAAAAAATTTATTCTGCCGCAGGATAATTGTTGTTGATAACTTTAAAATGTGTTTCTATGACTTTAGGTAGAATAGTCCATTAATTAATTTGGATCTGGATCTAAACTAACAGGAATAGATCTATCATAATCCTGACATTTTCTGCCTTCAAGAAACTGCTAATAAATTAATTATTACGTTTTTATCAAACAGATGGGAAATCAACAAACTGGGCAATATTGGTGTGTACTTATTATACAACCTTAACGGCAGTGGAACCGATTTACAGTTTGTTATATTCTCTTAGAGAACAATTTACATCAGATTTAAAAATAAACTCTGAAAGATTTTAAATATCGCTGTTATCATCCACTAAATCTGTAACATCAATAATGTCTTTGTTGAGTCGTTCCTTTTGAAGATAGATTTACGGTTCATGGTTCCATAGAGTTGAGGAGAAAAGCTGTGGCTGAAAATCATTTTCCAATAATGCAGAATCTGCTGCTGGATTTTAACAGATTAACTGAAATCCTGTTTACCTCAAAATCCCGTTTTAGAATAAAATCTAAACCTCCTAATTTATAGATGTAATCCTACATAGAGTTCAGGTTCAGCATGTAAGGTCCAGTTCATTCAGAAGGTTTCAACTTTAATTGAAGCAATGGAGGCATCAGGACTGGTATGGATAGGAAGTAGTTTGCATTTTGTTGATATCAAAGATAAACCAGACGCTACTGAGGGCTTTATCTATCATTGATTTATCTTTTAAAAAGATGCAGGTATCATCTGTGAATTGGCTTATTCTAGATTCTCTGTTGAAAATTGTGAGACCTCGTCTGTCATTGGAGTTTTTAATAAGCTAGCAGTTGTGTCGCTGAAATGAAACAACAACCCTCTCTGATTCTACATGAAATCTCTAATCCAGGCGTTAATCCCGGGTTTAGAGAGACCACGCTACTGATGTCAGGGTGGAGCATTTTAACTGTGCCACAAAATTTGCTTCCAAAACCCAGAAAGTGTGAAATTTCTAGCAAAAAGTTCAAGTGAGTCAAAAGCTTTGAAAAGTCTAAGATCAATATTTAGCTGTTTGTAGGAATAAAGTCTCTATAATCTAACAGGCCAGTAATTAGTCTAGTGTGGTTATTCTAACTTTCACTAAGGCGGATTGACACTCATCCACTAGTTGTGTTAATCCCATATTTAATCTATCAGAGTAGATGGGATCTAGTAGTGTTATTGGCCTCCAATTATCTAATAATAATTTCACTTTATTGGGCTTTGGAATTAGGGTTATAATCCCCCTTTTCATAGTAGGGGACAAATATAGGGGACAGATTAAATATATTCCAGCAGGGATTATAAAGCAGCAGTCTGACATTATTCAAAATTGATATAAAACTCTGCTGTTAAACCATCTTTTCCTTTTGACATTTTCTCAGTTGCTAAATCGAGCTCTTAAATAATGAGATTTTCATCCATAAATTGCTTAAAATTCCCATCAATTATTTTCCTACATTTCCCAACTTTTTCAAAAATATTTAAAGATTTGAATGTATAAAGTTTTTTTTTTTAAATAAAAGTTTCTTATTTCCTCATTAACTTCATCTTGGTTATCAATTCTTATATAATATTATCAATAAGTCATTTATTAATTTTCTTTTTTGTTTTTCCAGCTTAAATAAATAGGATGTTGTTGTTTTTTTTATCCCCTTCTTCCATCCAGCGGCCTTTAGAGCATAAATGCTCGTTTAGCTTCTCTGAATAAACATGATCCAATCGAGTTTGAATTAAATTCAGCTTGTTTGTCTAAAGTCTGTTTTACTCACCATCTTTCAGGATAGACTCCGTGGAACAAGCTTCTTTACGATCCTCCATGTTGACACTTCCGGGTGTGACGTAGCACTCTTCTTCTTCTACTATTTCTTCTTCTTCTGGTTGGATTTATTGGCGGTTGGCAACAAACGTTTAGTAGCATTACCGCCACTTACTGGTGTGGAGTGGCTGGTGATGGACTAACAAAACAAAAGGAACAAAAAACAAAACAAAAGGAACAAAAATAAATAATAAAAAAAAATAAAATAAATAAAAGTATATATACGTGTATATATATATATATATATATATATATATACACACACACAAAATCTACAATTCACAAACACATTCTTCGCCCTCTCTATAATCAAATTCTATGAAAAGTAATTGTAAATGTTTACTCCCCAAATTCTTCCTCAAAATATCTACTAAACTAATATTTTGTTTAATATATTTAAACTCTCTCCTCATATATCTTCTCTCTCTTTCATATTGATGACATTCCAGTAGTTTGCTTCTGAATTTTTTAGTCTTTGATTAAGTCCAGTTTGCCCAAATACTAACCTTGTTATTACTCTCTTCTACTTTCTATTCTGCTTCCATATCTTCTTTTTCTTACCATCTTCTAAATTTTATAAACCATCTTCCTGTTTTTTCTTCATCCCACCTTTTTTGCCATTTTCCATCAGTTTTTCTTTAATAAAACTCTTTCTCTCTGATTTACTTGTTTAAACTGTAAAACTAAAGGATTTTGATTTGCTCTCTTTGTCATTTTATCTGCCCTCTGGTTTCCTTCTACTCCAATCTGTGCTGGAAGCCACACAAATACAACAATCAAACCCATATTTTTATTGTGAATAATGTATGAAATATTTCTAATAGAATGTCCATCCTACTATCTGATTGATTATTTTAAACTTAATAATGCAGAGCTTGAATCTGATTACAAAGTCCAATTTTAATGGTTTTATATCTTCTACCCATTGTAAAGCTAATATTATTGCCAACATTTCTCCTGTTTATCCTGATAATCCATCTGAAATTCCTTTTCCTATTTTTATATTGAATTCTGGTATTATAAAAGCTATTCACTCAGATTCTTTCCTGTTGGTCTTAAGAGGTTTCTGGTCCTGCACTGGAGTCAAACAGAATAACTGGGATTACATCACAGGAAGTGATGATGGATTCTCCTAGTGATCATTTTCCAGGTTAAGGGGGGGGGGCACGTTTTTTTTCTTACATTGGGTCCTTGATTTTATGTTATTACATCATGTTCTACTCACCCATATGAGTTTTGTTTCATTTGGAGCTCTTCTGGAGATATTCCGTTAGGTTATATCCAGATAACGTCTTCCTATGGGCAACGACTTGAAGGAACAAACTAAACTGTTCATTATTTATTATTGATGGTACGCCAGCATTCAGAACATGTAGGCCAATCACTGTTCCCCAGACATCCCAGTTATATTTTTTATATTTATATATTTTTAAAACAAAGCAGAGTGTGTATGATGTCAAGTTCAATGACTGGTGTAGCTGACATGGAACAACCAGACCATGCATAGTGCTTTAGGGTAATAGAATATATTAATTAGGCTATGGATGCTTCTAAAAAAAAAAAAAAAAAAAAAAAAA